ATGTTTGGTTTAAGCTTTGGTGGTCTATCTGAAACTGCCAAATGTCATTGATAATTGAGTGGAAGGAAATGTTAGTATGAAATAGTCCAAGTCTTTAATCCAAAAGCTTTTTCAAATTATTTTTGGAATGGTAAATAATGCTTTTATCTCCAGTGATTCCCTATTAAAACACATTTTGGTTTGATAAGTTGGCCTTCTCTATGGGCACCTGGCAAAAAGAAAAGGCTGGTAAAATATATATATAAAAGGATCATCAAGCTGTCATCACAAGTTAGAAACCATCAAGACTCACAGACATAGTAAACAATCCTGTGCTTACTGGGAGTAACAGGGGTGGGAAGGGATAAACTGGGATTTTTGAGAATTGCTAATATTAACTGCTATATATAAATAGACAAAAAGAATTCTTCTGTATAGCACAGAAGAATACAACTGTATTCAATATCTTATAGTAACCTATAATGAAAAAAATATGAAAATGAATATATGTATGCATATTTATGACTAAACCATTATGCTGTACACCAGAAATTGACACATTATAACTGATTATACTTCAATTAAAAGGTAAACCATCAAAATTTCCTGTAGATAACTTAAATTATAATTTGCTTTTTTTGTTTGTTTTCCTGAATCACATCATTAAATGGCGTTCCAGAGATCATAAATAATATATTTTCTCTCGTGTGTGTGTGTTTATGCACATTTGTAGGTAAGAAAATAATTCCTTGATAAACAACACAGAAAACAAAATTGACGGAAAAAAGTTCTTGCTAACCCTGTCTCCCTAAATTTCACTCTTGACTTTGAGCATACAGTTTGCAAATGAGTACTTCATTCTCTTGAAAATCTCCTAGAATGGCTGAGGCAGGTTGACAGAAGCAAACATACACACATAAATGTACTCGGGTGTATAGAAATTTAAGATATAGTGAGAGGATAAATAAAAATCAATATGGATAACTTTAAAGAGCCTCTGTATCAATCAGAAGAGAGAGCCCTCGGATGTTCGGTAACTTAAAGCAGTTCAGAACCACAGGACAGGATTATAACCATCATTATATTGGTGAAGTCGCTCTATCTTTTCTATACTGCTCTACACATTTCTCCCACAAATTCTCCATTCCACTATTGACATTTCTTACAATCCATGCCGCTGTGATCACTGGATCCCCGAGTTCATCATGAGTAAACTCTCCCTCATCCTCTACTCCTCACAGGTGATTTTATACATCCTCTTGTCCTTCACAACTCCTTGTTCCTAAAAGATACTACTTTTCGTGCAGCCATCTTCAGTGGTGGCTGTTCCTCCTATACCTGTGTCAGTCATGCGCAGTGCTGGCATCTTCCTTTTAGATGGCAGAACACCTCTTCTGCACTCTAGTGATACCCAGCCAAATGGACCAATGATGTATTCCTTGCTTTGACTCCTTATTTGCTTCCCATTCTGCTGGATCATGGATCCATGTCTGTTTTTTATTTGTTTGTTTTTGTTCTGCTATCACCAGAACATTTAACGGCCCTCCTTTTTGCATTTTTAGGGGTTAGCCCAACTTGTATTGTGGCTACAACTGACCTTATGCTCAAAAAATAGAAATTATAAATGGGATGAAAATAAGATCATGCTTTTTCAGTCCTTAACACTTTTCATTTAACTATTTTATCAGTTCCCCCCCCAAAAAAATACCATCCAACTTTAACATATTTCTCCAGACTTTCAGAGTTTAGTAAGAAAAGAAAACCATTACCATCCCCTAGTTTACCAGAGCCCAGAAGTCTTAGAGCCACTAGGTGGGCTAAGTTGGGAGTTCAGGATTTGCAGATACTAACTATTATATATAAAACAGATAAGCAACAAGGTCCTACTGTGTTGCACAGGGAACTATATTCAATACCTTGCAATAGCCTATAGTGAAAAAGAATATATATATAAATTAAATAGTCCCCTGTGACCTCAGAGAAATGCTAAGTCTCCTGTGTGCTATATATATATATATATATATAGATATATATATATATATCTGAATAACTATAATGTATGCCAGAAATTAACACAACATTGTAAACGGACTACACTTCAATAAAAATAAAACAAAACAAAACAACAAACAGAAGGGCTTCCATAGGAACTAGATGCACAGAGGAAATACAGCCTTTGCCAAGGACACAGACAGAATCAGGAAAAAAAAATTGGGAAGATGTGCTCTGGCTTCTTTGTTTCTTTCCAGCCTCTGTTCTCTTCCTGTGACATTAGCCAGAGCCAATGAACAAGGGACCTTGGGATACAGTGCTGTGGTGAGCCTCTAGCTACTCAGAGTAGAGCAGAAGAAGGGCGAGAAATTGATTCCAGAGCAATCATGCAAATGACCAACAACCCAGCAATGGTGAATGAGTCAGGGCCTTTCTGCAGGCTATTTTTTGGGTTTTGGAATAACTTTGCCCAACTTTGAGACTGCTTCTATGTACTCTTCTCTGATACCACCAGAGAGACACTATTTTCTACCTGCTATATATTTCCCTTGTTCTGCCTTCAACAGTATACTGAAATATATTTGCTCAATGTGTTCATTTTTGTCTGCTGAATATTTTCTGTTTCTAAATACCAGTTTAGAGCTTACGAATTCCAGTAAAATCAGAAAGGAAGTAAATTGAGCTTTGAAATATTTTGTCCCCAAATCACTATACTCATGTCTAAGATAAGCAAGTACAACTTTATAGACTCCATCTCACGGCTCCTGCTAGCCATAGAGATAATGCTCTCTTTTTCCATAATGCAAAAATGCCCACATTTTAGTCTCCCTTTGTTTGAAGACAATTAAAAGTGAAACTGTTATACTTCCTCCTATACTCCTAATATTATAGCCTAGGGACATATCTGACTCACAGCTGGCGAGGCGCTGCAGTGCAGCAGGAAGCAGACAGGTTCAAAAGTCAGACTCTGTAGGTTGGAATTCTGACTCCATCACTACCAACAACTTACCTTCACCAAGTTATTTAACCTCAGTGTGCCACAGTTCCCATATCAGAAAATAGGATGAATAATAAGCTAATTTATAAGTTTATGGTAAAATTTAAGAGCTAAGATCAGTAAAAATCTTTGAAAAGCACCTGTACGTGGTATGCACTATGTAAGTGTTAACTGAGATTTTATTTTGTATTAATAATAAATTATTATTTTAGTCTTATAGGAAGACAAATTCAGATGAATTGTTTATACCATAGGCAAGAAAGTCTTCTTATAAAAGCCCCATAGTAAAAATGTGTAACAAGATATTAACATGTAATAGTTAAAACAAAACGAATGATTTTTACGTCTGCATGTGTGTGCACACATGTATGTGTAAATATCCAAAACATATGTTGTTAACTACAAACTTACAATAACAGGAAAGATATTCTGTATTATATAATCAAACTAAATGAAGTTTAAAAATATTTCTGTATTTTCATTATTTTTAAAATTACACTTTGCTTAGCCATAGAAAATATAATTACTTAAGGACTTCTCTCCTTAGAATCTACACCATGATGTTTCTACTTCATTTTCACATCTATTCTGTTTTGTTATTTAAATTCAAAAGAGTCCAATTTTAATTTTTTCCATTTTTGAAACTGTGATTAATTTTGGTGGCTTATGAAGAGAAAGTCAGTAAAAACAAATATTCATGACTGAGAGCCACTGAAAATGAATACCAGATATTGAATTCTGTTTTCTGGCACTTGTACTTATAAGAGAAACTTCTTGCTCAGTTTCTGGTTCCACATGTAAGCAGTTTGGAAGTCACCACTCCACTCTACAAACAAGCAAAAAGCAGAACAGACTGAAAAATTAACAGCTTTTCTTGGGTCCATAACAGAGCGGAGAAACCAGAACAAACCACTGCCTCTAAGGTTGGAGAGACAGACTGGTGAATACAGAATCACACCCTATCCATAACGCAGAGACACTTGAGAGGAAACTGTCTCAGGAAAAAGTCACAGCATAGAAAAAGCTAAACTGTAGTTGATAAATTACTGGAGACTCAGAATGGACACCTCTGAGACATAAAAACACCAGGGGACCCAATTATTGGAGAAAAGAGGATATAATATTGTGAGATTTATGAGGAGGTTGACCGGGTTCCCATATTACACAGAGAAAAATTCTCTGGGTCTTCTGGCAGGGGGAGGGGAAAGGAACCAATTTGAAATACATCAGAGCAGTCTGCTCTCCTTAACGAGGTCTGCCCTTGAAGGAAATTAATTAACTAGATCCTAACCTGCTGGGGTATTAGCGGAGCCTGTACAGGGAAAGAGAAATACCCAACTCTAGCCCACTAGAAACATCCTAAGTGAGGAGAAAAAAATGAGAAACACTGGTAATGTTCGCAGTCCAGAGGCAAAGGATCATGCACCATGACAAAGTGAGATACATCGCAGGGATGCAAGGATGATTCAATATCTGCAAATCAATCGATTTGATACACCATATTAACAGACTGAAGAATAAAAATCATATAATCATCTCAACAGATGCAGAAGAAGCTTTAAACAAAATCCAACATCCATAATATGATAAAAACTCTCCAGAAAGTGGGTATAGAGGTAATATGCCTCAACATAATAAAGGACATATATGACAAGCACACAGTTAACATCATACTCAATGGTGCAAAGCAGAAAGCATTACCTTCAAGATCAGGAACAAGACAAGGATGCTAACTCTTGAAAGGTCTACTGAATACGGTACTGGAAGTCCTCACTACAAGAAATAAACAAGAAGTAAAAGGACTCCAAATTAGAAAGAATGAAGTAAAACTGTCACTCTTTGCAGATGACATGATAGTATACATAGAAAATCCTAAAGACACTACCAAAAAACTACTAGAGCTCATCAATAAATTTGGTAAAGTTGCAGGATACAAATTTAATATACAGAAATCTGTTGCATTTCTAGGCACTAACAATGAACTATCATAAAGAGAAATTCATAAAACAATGCCATTCACAATTGCATAAAGAATAGAACACTTGGGAATTAATCTAACTAAGGTGGTAAGGGACCTGTACTTGGGAAACTGTAAGACACTGTTGAAACAAATTGAAGACTACACAAACAGATGGAAATATATTCCATGCTTATGGATTTGAAGAATTAATACTGTTAAAATGATGATACTACTCAAGGCAATTTACAGATCTGATGCAATCTCTATCAAAATTGATGTTTTTTTTAACAGAACTAGAATAAATAATTCTAAAATTTGTATGGAAACACAAAAGACCCTGAATAGTAAAAATTATCTTGAGAAAGAGGAATAAAGTTAGAGGGATCATGCTCCCTGATTTCATGCTATACTACAAAAGCTACATTCATCAAAATATGGTATTAGCACAAAAACAGACAGATCAGTAGAGGAGAATAGAGAGCCTAGCAATGAATCCACAATTATATGGGAAGTTAATCTATAACAAAAGAGACAAGAATATACAATGGGGAAAAGACTTCTTCAATAAATGGTGCTGGGGAAACTGGACAGCTAAATGTAAGAGAATCAAACTGGATTGTTCTCATACACCATGCACAAAAATAAATTCAAAATGAATTTAAAAATTTAAGCCCTAAAACCATAAAACTTCTGCAAGAAAACATAGGGAGTAGGGCCTTTGACATTGGACTTAGTGATATTATTTTGGATATATCTCTTCAGGTAAGGGAAAGAAACACAAAAATAAACAAACGGGAGTACATCAAACTAAAAGCTTTTGAACAGCAAAGGAAATCAAATAAAACAAAAAGGCCACCTACTGAAGGCGAGAAGTTATTTCCAAATGATATATCTGCCAAGGGATTAATATACAAATACACACAGAACTTATACAACTCAACATAAAGGACAATTTTTAAATGGGCAGAGGTTCTGAACAGACATTTTTCCAAAGACATATAGATGGCTAGAAGGTACATGAAAAGATGCTCAGCATCATGAATCATCAGGGAAATGTAAATCTAAGTCACAATGAGATATCACCTTACACTTCTTAGAATGGTTATGATCAAAAAGACAACAATTAAGTGTTGGCAAGGATGAGGAGAAAAGGTGCACCCTTGTGCACTGTTGGTAAGAATCTAAATGTGTACACCTGCTGTGGAAAATAATACGGAGATGCTCAAAAATTTAATAATAGAACTACCACAATATCCTGCAATTCCACTCCTGGGTATTAAGCTGAAGAAAATGGAAACTGTCCATCAAAATATGAATTGATAAAGATGTAGTATAAAATGGAATATTACTCATCCATAAAAAAGAATAAATTCTTGTCTTTTGAGACAGCATGTATGGACCTAGACTATCTTATGCTAAGTGAAGTAAATCAGACACACATAGAAAAGCCCTGTATGATTTCACTTGTATATGTAAACTAAAAAATGAAATAAATAAACATAAAAAAGCAGAATCAGAGCTGCACAGAACAAGCAGATGTTAACAAAGGGGAGGAGATAAGGGGAGGAAAGAAATAGGTGAAGGAGATTAACAGGTACAATCTTTTACTTGCAAACAAATGAGTTATGAGTATGAAATGTACAGGTGAGGCATATATCAATAACTATGTAATTTCTACGTATGGTGATATATAACTAGAATTCTGGTAGTAAACATTATGAAATGTACAGAAATCCATTGTTTTTCTATACACAAATAATGAAACATCACAAAGAGAAAACAAGAAGAAAAATCCCCTTTAAAATCACATCAGAAGAATAAAATCCCTAGGAATAACCTTAATTAAGGAGGTGAAATACTAATACTCTGAAAACTATAAAACTTTAATAAAGGAAATTGAAGATAATACAAAGAAATGGAAATATAATCTATATTCATGGATTGGAAGAATTTTTATTGTTCAAATGTCCATGCTACTCAAAGCAATCTACAGATTTAATGTAATCCTTACCAAAATACCTAAGAAATGTTTCACAGAACTAGAACAAATAATCCTAAAATGTATATGGAATCACAAAAGACCCAAATTGTAAAAGTAATCTTGGGGAAAAAGAACGAAGCTAGAGATACAATGCTGCCTGATTTCAGACTATACTACAAAGCTACAGTAATCAAAACAGCATAAAACTGGCACAAAAACAGACACAGAACAGAACAGAATAGAGTACAGAAATAAACTCACACAGTTATAGTCAATTAATCCATGACAAAGGAGGCAAGAATATACAATGAAGAAAAGACAGTGTCTTCAATAAATGGTGCCAGGAAAACTGGATAACTACATGTCAAAGAATAATATTAGAACATTCTCTAACACTATATACAAAAATAAACTCAAAATGGATTAAAGACCTAAATATAAGACTTGAAATCATAAAACTCCTAGAAGAGAACATAGAACACTGTTTGACATAAATCGTAGCAATATTTTTTGGATGTCTCCTAAAGCAAAAGAAAGGAAAGCAAAAAATGAACAAATGGGACCTAATTAAAGTGTTTTTCCCAGCAAAGGAAACCATCAATATATTAAAAAACCAAGTGACCCAGTTTAAAAATGGGCAGAAGACCCAAGCAGACATTCTTCCAAAGAAGATATATAGATGGCCAAGAGGCAAATGAAAAAATGTTCAATATTGTTCATCATCAGAGAAATGCAAATCAAAATCACAATGAGATATCACTTCACACCTGTCAAGATGATTATCAACAAAACATGTACAAATAATAAATGCTGGCTAAGATGTGGAGAAAAAAGAACTCAAGCACACTGTTGGTAGGAATGTAAATCGGTGCAGCCACTATGGAAAACAATATACAAGTTCCTCAAAAAACTGAAAATAGAACCACCATATGGTCCAGCAATTCCACCACTGGGTATGTATCTGAAGAAAACAAAAGCCTTAATTCAAAAGGTAAATGCACTCCAATGTTTATAGCAGCATTATTTGCAATAGCCAAGATACCAAAGCAATCTACATGTCCATCAACTGATGAATGGATAAAGATGTAAGGCATATATACATATATGTATAATAAAGTTATACATTATGGTAATATGAAATTATATTATCACTTACACATGGAATCTAAAAAATAAAACAAATGAATATATATATATTAAAACAGAAACAGACTCATAGGTACTGGGAACAAACTAGTGGTTACCACTGGTGAGAGGCAAGGGGGGAGTGATCAGATAGGAGTATAGGATTGAAAGATACAAACTATTATGTATAAAATAGATAAGCAACAAGGATACATTGTTCACCACAGAGAAATATAGCCATTATTTTGCAACAGCTTTAAATGCAGTATAATCTATAAAAATACTTAATCACTATGCTGTATACCTGAAGCTCATATAATATTATAAATTAACTATACTACAATAAAAAAATTACATAGTTAAGGAAGGCCGTATCTTGTGAAATTATAGGTATATTTTCATTATTGTATCACTCTGTGTCATAATGGAATTATATAATTAGAAAAAAATTTTAGTGGGCTAGAATATTATTTTAAATAAAATATTGAACAAGTGATGTTCTAATTAATATTAGTTCAGAAATTCATAAATGTATTTTATTTATTATTCACATATTCACTAAGAATATGTGAATTATTTTCCATTCAGTATGTGAGCTAATGAATGCTTTAAATAAACATGTATTTAAACTTAGAGAAAAGAGTAAATCCTAAGAGTTCTCATAACAAGGAAAACTGTTTTTTCTATTTTTTAATATTGTATCTATATGAGATGAATGTTCACTAAACTTACTGTGATGATCATTTCATGATATATGTAAGTCAAATCATTATGGTGTACACTTAAGCTTATACAGTGCTGTATGTCAACTACATCTTAATTAAACTAGAAGAAAAAAATTAATTAAAAGACATGAACACATCCAGCAGGTGGAAAATATCATAATTTGAGGGAAATTTATAGCATTGAATGCATATATTAGAAAAAAAGAAACATTTGAAGTCAATAATCTAACTTTCTTTTGCAGAGAACTAGAAAAAGTAGAGCAAATTAAATCCTAAGTAAGCAGAAGAAAAGAGACGGGACTAAAATTCCTAATATCAGAAATGAAACCTATAGATCCCAGGATATAAAAGGATAATAAATCAATAGTATAGACAACTCTTTGCTCACCAATTTGATGACCTAGATGAAATATACCAATTCCTTCAAAGATACAATCTGCCAAAAGTCACACAGAAGAAATAGAAGATTGTAACAGGTCTATGTAGATTTAAAATTTTTAATCAATAATTAATAACCCTCTAAAGCAGAAAGCACTAGGGCTACACTAACTCCCTGGTGAATTTGACCAAATATTTGAGGAAGAAACTCCACCAATTCTTACAATCTCTTTCAGAGCATAAAAGTTGAGGAAATGCTTCCTAATTCATTCTATGAGGTCAACATTATCCTAATACCAAAGTCAAAGATTTTACAAGGAAAGAAAATACAGGTTGATATCTTTCAAGAACATAGATGCAAGAAACCAAAATATTGGAAAACTGAATCTTACAAAGTATAAAAAGAACTATACACCACAACCAAATGGCACTTACCCCAGAGATGCGAGGCTGATTCAACATTTGAAAATAATGAATGTAGTTCATCACTTCAAAAGGCTAAAAAAGAAAAATAACAAGATCCTATCAATAGATGCAGAAAAACTATTTACAAAACCCAATAACCATTCATGACAAAAACTCTCAACATAATAGCAATAGAGGGGAATTTCTTAAGCTAGATAAAGACTATTTGCAAAACACCTACAAGCTGACATTATATTTAATGGTACAAAACTTGAAGCTTTCCAACTAAGATTAGGTACAAGGCAAGATGTCCCTTCTCACCACTCCTTTTCAATATTGCAATAGAAGTCCTTGTTACTGCCATAAAGCAAGGAAAGGAAACAAAAGATATACATATTGGGAAAGAAGACATAAAACTGTCTTTTTCCACATATGACATGATTGTCCATATAGAAAATCCAAAAGAACTGACAAAACAAACAAACAAACAAAAACAAACAAAAAAAAACAACCCTCCTGGAACTAATAAGCAATTATAGTGAGGCTGAAAGATACAAGACTAATAAATAAAAGTCATTTGCTGTCCTATATACCAACAATGAACAAGTAGTATTTGAAATTAAAAC